CCAAACTAATGCTCAAGAGGTTATCATTAACAAAAACTACAAAATAAACATGTTGGGCCTTTTTAAGCATGATTCCTGTAAACATCGCAAAAAATCGCTTTTCTCAGTCCTGACATTTCGTGTGATGGCTTTAAAACAAAATACAACACACAAATCCTATCACTTCTTTTTTTGCATAGGGGATGAATTAATCATATTTTAAAATGCAGCAATCATTCAGTGAAATGTCTTCAGCACACAGCACTTGTTTTCGGTATGAATTCAGAACTTTTGAGCAATAAAAGTGCTCTGCATAAGTTTATAAAATATGCTTTCTGGATTTCAATTTAACAGGAAAGTTTCAAAACAAGCCACAGGTGCAATTCTAAGGTATGATGTACATAGTATCTGACTACAGGAGGAAAAGCCTCACCACAGCACAGCACAGCGTACAAACAACACAGTGTTTAATAGCATTTCCCTTTAGGTGTTCCTCACATCAGTGCCTCTGGGGCTAATGATTACGTTATACAAGGCCCCTTCCACTTGTTGCATCCAAAGTGGAAGGGGGATGTGAGGGCAAATTTAAAGTAGATAATGGGGGGAAAAAAAGGCAAAAATACAGTACATATGCTTGAAAGAGTGCACTTTATGAAATAGCTTGCTTTATTCATATTCTTTTATAAAGTGCAACATTACTTAAAACAGAGACATGTACCTTAATATTTTGCAATAACCATTAAAACAAATTGCCAGGAAAGAGCAGTGCAAAATTAAAAACATACATAGCTTAGCATGCATCTCAGATGGGTCCCCAGTATGGAGCGTGGGACCTGAAGTTCTTATATCTTTTTTTTTTTTTACTTTTTAGAAAAAGATTAATAATAGCAGGTTATCGTCATAGGTAACCATAAAATAAAAACAATAAGTTAAAATCCTCTCTGAAGAAATAAGTATATGCCACACATAAAATTCATTACAGACTCTTTTTCAAAACAGACCTTTTTTGCTGATAAATCACTGTTCAAAGGGTGCAAGTCTCTTAAAAACCCACGATGCCCACAAGGCGAAGCAAAAGGTATCATCACAGTACGAGGAACTCTTGTTGGCAGACATCTGAAGAACCTGTGACTTATTTTGTCAGCAGCTCAAATCTCACCAGTCCCTAATTAAATTGACAGACATCTTTGCTCTTTCAAAAACAGTCCTGTTGGCACCATGCTAGGTCACTAAACAGTATGACATGTGGTCTATTCACAGTAACATTCTCTGTCCAGTGCTTTTGGATGAGGATAACCAATTGGGTTTTCCTGAAAAAATTCCCTGCGAGGCAGATTCCAAGGAGACCAATGGGACACGTTTTTCAAAGCACAGAACCTGGCCGCAGGCACACGATGAGGGAGCAGAAGGGACAATGGATCACCCGTTATGCGCCTACCGTTCCTATGCTGCTCAGTCTGAGAACTGGAAGAGGGTCTCTGGGTTATTGCTGTCGGCAGGATTGCTGGGCTGCAATGTCTTTGTGGGTGTCCTTTTGCCATGAGAATGGGAGGAAGAAGAGTGAGAGCTTTCACTGGAGCTGCTGCGCGTCTCGGTACTGGTGCTGGTCTTCTTCATTTTCCTTCTCTTCGCCAAAGGGGCCTTATCAACATTCTGAAGGCAAAACCCCTCTCTCTTGTATTTGTTAAAGGCCTAGGGGAGAAAACAAGGGGAACCCCCGTGAAGGTAAAAGGATTGAAGTCTTCCTGGCCGTCATGACTTATAGAGAACTTGCGTTTGGCAAGCTTGGCAACCACAGCTTCAAGTTGTTCTGGGAACATGGTCCTTAACACCACTGTATCCAAAACTCCGGGCAGGGTACAGAAGCTCATGGGAAAGGGTTTCTGAGGGCTCTGTTTAAATCCACCTGTTAGGGCGTCCAGGAGTCACAATTCTAATAAATCTTTTGAAGAGGGCAGGGCTACCTCTCAATTAAAAAACCACCGACGGACTGGAAATTCTTGAAGAATGTCAGCAATCTAACTCACCTCTCTCCATCACTTTGACTAGTTCTGTGTCTGAGATTTAAAATTCCAACCACAAAGTCCCAACACAGAGCCCCTGATCTCCACTCCCACGTCAATGCAATTTGGGTACATCTTGGACACAATATATGCAGAGAAGATTAGCTCTATAAACCTCAGCCTGGCTTCCTCCTCACAGCGGCCTGTCTTTACTTTTCTTAGATTCAAGCTTAGGCATTGCTGAGTGACAACCTTATATCATATGTCACTGAGAAGATTTGGATCACCTGCCTCAAATGCTTGCAGTTCATCTCTTCACACCTCACCAGATCCCAGCTTATTAATATTTTAATCCATTTCTGCAGCTGAAGAGGAAATGCTATCCTGTCTCCTTTCTCAAGATAATCCTTTCAGAAGTAATTTACTTTCTCTCTAACTCATCGGCTCCTTATCCTTAACGTATTTGCATCTGCTTGGCACGAATGTGCAGAATCTACAGTTATTGCCATGCAGTCTCAGCCTTTCAAGTACACAGTCTTTACTTAATACCAATTAATTTACTTCTTATCCCTCACAGTCTCCAGAACATATTATGCACAAAATGATTTTTGAATGAATGGACCTTCACATGTGCCTTAGTTCCTAATGCCTATTTATAGTTTTTACAGTCATTTAGCTTATTTGAGAGAAAAACTGTTCTAATACAGACTTGTGGTTGCCAAGGGGGAAAAGGGGTGGGGGAGGGATGTATGGGGAGTCTGGGATTAACAGATGCAAACTGTTATATATAGAATGGATAAACAACAAGGTCCTACTGTATAGCACAGGGAACTAGATTCAATATCCTGGGATAAACCATAACGGAAAAGAATATGAAAACGAAAGTGTATATATATGTATAACTGAATAGCTTTGCTGTACAGAAGAAATTAACACAACATTGTAAATCAACTATACTTCAATAAAACAAATTTTTTTAAAGTTCTAATAGTATGCATGTTGTTTTCCTTTTACCAAGTCAAAAATTTCAACTATTCAAATATCAGACTGCTGCCTCATCTTGCAAACTCATTCTAAACGTCAAATAAATATTTTGTGGTTAGCAGTGACTCTGGTCCCCATGCACTTTCTGTTTATAAATGCGTTTATATCATGAAGGGATTTATAAAAGCATATCTAAAATTAAAAGGACCCATTTTAAAAACTGTATTGCTAAGAGGGTATCTCTTAGCAATAGATTATAGAGTAAGAACATCTATCTGATCCCTTTCCAAACCGCCCTACAAGTGCAGAGCCCAGAGCCTTACATGGAAGGTTGCTTTCACACAGGTGTGCACAGCAGCTCCTGAAGACCCTAGAATGTCTGGAGTCATCAGAGGGTTTGAGGATAGCTGACTGCCATCTTGAAGCCATTCATTGTATCTCAAGCCAGACATTTTAAGTCTCTTATTTGGATCGACTGTGAGAAGTCCTGTGGGAATAAATAAGATATTTTTATTTTATGATTTGTCATTTCAAACATAGTTTAAAGTCAACCTCAGACATAGATCTCAATTATGTTCACAAGACATGATGGTTTCTGAAAGGCGTCAACCTCCTACAAAGATAATTACGTACATTTTCATGTACATTTAAATCCCCTAGTGAATACCGGATGCTAATAATAAAGCCCACAGTAGCCTATATCTGGAGGCAGTAGGCTAGCTGGCTTTCCAATCAGGAGAAAATAACCACCTAAAACAAGGACTCCCACTAGTGACCAGGCAAACTCCCCCAAAACAAAGAGTACCGAGATTTACTTCATTCATGTACAAACATCTTCCACAAGTTAGGGAGTGTGGAGGTATGGAGACGGACACTCAGAGAAGAGCTGCGGGGAGGCACACAGACAAAACCCAGGTCTCATCACATTACAGGACAAGTGCTGTAGCACGAGCCACACGCACGGCAGGCCCAGGGGAAAGACTCAGCCTAGGGAGCGCGGGCATCCTGGAAGGCTCCCAGGAGACGAGTCCTGGGGGATGAGCCGTAGTGGGTTTGATGAAGAAGGGTGCCCTTCTTCAGGGATTAGGAATAGCACGTGTAAAGGGGAGCAGAATCCGAGCGCTCAGCACATTTGAGGAATTCAAGTGTTCGAGGATGGTGGAGCGAAGGTGACAGGAAGCAGAGGCAGGCAGGGCCAGGCTGTGAAGGGCTTTGAATTTTGAAGGCTGCACTATGGAGTCTGACCTGAAGCTCACGGGGATTGTCTGAAGGATTTTTAACACAAAAGAGGCACGATTGCATTTGGCTATTAGGAAGGTCACTGTGCCGATGGATGACACGTAAAGTGAAAGGAAGTGAGACAAGTTGAAAGCATGTTGTGGATTTTAGGAGACAGACGATGACAACAACTAAGGTGACAGCCATGTGAATGGGGAGGAGGGGTGGCTGGGAGGGATGCTGCGCCCGCAGGACCACGTGCCTGGCTGCGGAAGGCGAGGGAGGTTGCGGGGACTTAGGGTGATGCTGGGTCCTGTCCTGGTGATCTGGCTTCGTGGCCATGTAGAAGGAGGGGGAAAGGAGGAGGCACATGCTTGGGGGAAAGGAGAGTAAAAAGGAAGAGGTTCATTTTGAAGGTGTGAGACTGAGATGCTGGTGGATCCAAGTGCTAGTGCACGTAGTGAATGTGGATAAGATTACTGAGGGAGAGTGTTCTGAGAAGAAAATAAGGCTGAATAGAGTAGCCTGAAACCTTTTAGAACACGCAGGGACTCCTTGAGTAATTCACAAACAAATATATGTCATGGGTATGATTCCACTTCAGTCACTACACGTCATATAAAATATGAGATTTTCCATTAGATTCTTACCTTGGATCAAATCTTTAGCCTCTTGGGATACATTCTTCCAGGCTTCTCCTTCAAAGGAGAAATCTCCCTTTTTAATTTTCTTCATGATTTCCACCGCACTGGTGCACGTCAAGCTTTTGTCATGAGATTGGAATGGAACTTGCCCTGACAACATTGTATACTATCAAGAAAAAAAAAGGAGCAAAACAGAATGTCTGCCGAAATCACCATCAAAGCCACTCTGGTAATTTCATTACCAACTTAGCGTAATTTCCTAGATATTACACTTAGCATTGCTGCGTTTAAAAGATTACATGGCTTCAATCACTGAAACAACCAACACATTTCAGGCTTGTATATAAAAAGGAATGGCTTAGTATGATATCAAGATTTAAAGCCATTTTGATAACTGTATTCAGATAAGAAGAATAAAAAAGGGATACTCCAACCATCTCAAAAGATGGTATTAATGTTGACAGGGGGGTGTGTACATGCCAAAGGAATTGCAGGCCCTGGCTAAAATGGCCCAGCAGGGATCAGGGGACACAAATGAGAATGGATCTTGAAGAAGCTGAGCTGGAGTGGGTGTGTGGAACATAAGACCTGGCTGACGGAGAAGAAATTATTGCCATGGAAACACTTGTCTGAGACTCAGGATTCAACATCCTGGCAGGGACACCTGGAGCCAGTACGAGTAGTCAGCTGAAATGGCTCCTTGAAGCTCGAACAAAACTGTGTACTGGGATCAGCAGACGCACTGATTCGTAAAGCTGCAGCAACAGTCGCTGTACTATGGACACGGCACACTCAGAATCAACCCGAGGAGGTCCGGAAGACACAGCAAATTACATGCATAGGTGCCCATCACCTCTCTCTGTTGCACCAATGCTTCTTCCTTAACTCACACCTATGGCCTCACGGAGGGGGGCTCCCGATGATCAACTGATGAAGGAAGAAAGGAAATTGGGCCTATTTGTCAGGTGGGTTGGCATTCTTTCACTTGGGTGCAGCTGGCCTGTTAGAACATGAAAAGCTCAGTGAAGACACCAGCTCAGGACAATACCCTGTGGGGTTGGGGTGCTGTCCTTTAGGACTGTGCTGAACCAATGGCTGATCCATTGGTGCTGGGTCCCCCATATCTAGATTCTATGGGCACACGACCCACTTGTAGAATTCACGTTTCCTGTTCCTGCAGCCTTAGGGTCTGCTCAGTTAGAGGTCTTGGTTCCATGAACTCAAGTGATCAGCTCCACTCGGTAACAGTAGGTGGCAACTCAGTGGTGCACCCTCTGCTCTCCCTCTTTCCCTGCCTCCCTGGGATTATGGTCCTTAGGTACATGACAAAACATAAGCTTTAACTTCAGGTTCTGCTTTCTGGGGAATCCAGACTAAAATATCTTTCTATTGTTGATGAAGATTTTGACCTGTTTCCAGTTTGGGGCATTTTGAAACATGCTGCTATATATCTTCTTGTACGTGTCTTTCGGTACATAAAAATACACATTTCTGTTGACTATATCCTTGAGATTGGAACTGCTGGGTCATTTGGTCTGTGTATGTTTGGTAGATACTGCCAAGTAGTTTTCCAAAATCTGCTCGGCTTCTTATCTTACCCTACTTCCTAACAGATACATTTGTGGCTAAGTACAAGAAAATATCCTTCATATTACAGTTTTCTCACTCTCATGTGTAATAATTCAACAGGCTTTTGCGTGGAAAAACTAATTCTCCGTCTTTGGAAATCTTTAAAGGAGACTGATGACAGGGACTTTGTAGAAAAGATCCCTTTTCTGGAAGAGTTAGAATTAAACAAACTTTAGGGCTCCTCTCAACTCCAAGATCTTACAATTTAGTTGATTATCCAGGAATCAACTTCTGTTAAGAATAATTCTGTATCTGCAAACTGTTTGCAAATGGTGTGATAAGAAAGTATCTATATACATAAAGATATACATCTCTTTCTATATATGTGTATATATATGTATGTATACACACACAAGAGGGAATTAGGGAGAAAGGAAAAGTAAATATGGCAACATGTTTAAATGTTCACAGTGTTATTCTCCCAAATTTTCTCTAGGTTTGAAATTTTCACAATAAAATTTGGGGAAGAAATTGAAAAAATAAGAAATCCTGAATAAATCTCTTGGAAGAAATATGTTTTAAATGTTATTATATTCCATCCTGTGGGTATGCTATATATTCCTATGGGATAGTATATAATCCTATCCTACGTTTTCTAAATACTGTCTGTTAAGCTCTGAATCATTGTGTGCCTTAAAATTCATATGCCAAAGAGCCAACCCCCAATGTGAGTGTATTTGCAGGTAGAAACTTTATGGAAGTAAAGGTAATGAGGTCATGAGGGTGCAGTCCTCATCCAATAGGATTAGTGTCCTTACAAAAAGAGACACCAGGGAGCTGGCTCTCTCTCTCTCTCTCTAAGCGCATGCACTGAAGAGAGGCCACGTGAGGACGCAGTGAACAGATGGCTGTTTGCAACCAAAGGCAAAAGCCCTCACCAGATACCAACCTTCTGGCACCTTGATATTGGACCTCCCAGCCTCCAGAACTGTGAAATAAATTTCTGTTGTTTAAGTCACCCAGTCTGCAGTGTTTCATTATGGTGGCCCCGAGCAGACTTAAGACACTGTGTAAACTCTATTTTAATTAAAGTCCTGTGAATTTCCAGTGAACTGCACATACATGAGGTAGACTGAGTTGTAATCAAAGCTGCATGATATGATGTGATGCATCTTCCTGAAGTATTTGTTTTACCCAATGGGGGTAACATAAATTATTTTCATATTAAAGTATCCATATTCATGTGTATTAGATGCAACATGTAAAAGGGCCATAGATTTCTAAGGCAAACCAGACGACCCCCCTAGAAAATTTTGTGCTTACTATGGGATAGCTCAGGCTTTGTATCTAGATCCTCTGGAGATATGCACTCATTTATATGGAAAAGTTTGCAAAGCATTCTTCTTATTTTTTTTGGACAGTTTAATGCAGGTGCTAACTATGCTTTTCATCTATATTTCGTGTCTCTAAAAGGCAAGGATTTTTAAAAACCACAACCACAACCTATTATCACAACTAAAACAATTAGCAGTAATTCCTTTGTATCATCCAATATCCAGTCAATATTCAAATTTCTCCAGTTGTGTTATATACATTGTATAAATATATCTGTATGACTTAGATTTACAGTTTGAATTTAATAAATAGATTTGAAATTAGAAGTTGTTTGAATCAGAATTCAAGTAAGACGCAAACACTGTTTCTTAAGTGTCTTTTAATCTATAGGTTCCCAGGCTACTTTTTTCTCATAATTTATTTGCTGGAGAAGCTCGGTTGTTTGTCCTGCAGAACTTCCCGCAGTCTGGCCGTTGTGATTGTACTCTTGTGGTATCATTTAATCTGTTCTTTGTCTCCTGTTCCTGTTTAAAACTTGACAATTAGATCTAGAGAGAAGCCTGGCTTCTCCCCATGCCATTATACAAAGTTATTTCCATAGACACGGCATTTGGAGGCTCTAAAATACCTGTCTGCATGTCTAAGATTGTCTTTTAAAACCTTAAAAAGCATGGTAATTATATTTGGCCTGTATTTAAGTAAGGGCTGTTTTACAAGGGGTAAACATATTATTGCTAAAAAAGAAAGGCTCTTTTTTATTTAGACGAATTTTTTAGGAGAGTGCTACTGAAATCAGTTTAAGTCAAACAAAACTCTCAAATCTATAGAAATTAGTTTTTTATTTTAATTTAAAAATCATATTCATAAATATGTAATTTCAGTTTGAAAATTATAAATAATGACTTAAAACTGCTGAAATAAAAACCATATAAAGCTTAAAAATAAAAGAACCATCCTGCAAGGACAACTGGCTTCCATTGGGGGAAAACAAACTGACACCAAAATAAATCCCAGATGGACTGCATAAGTATAAAAATAAAACATAATTCTAAAGGAAAATTTAAGAGAATATTTTTATAATCTTGGGTTGGGGTGGAGTGACAATCTGACATCAAAGCCAGATACCACAAAGGAAAAGACTAACATATCTTACAACATAAAAATAAAAAAAACTTCTCTATTTAAGCCTCTCAAAAAACAAAATTAAAACCCCATATTACTACAAAGTTTTCAAAGACATGAAAAACCAGAAAAAACATTTCCAATATTAATGGCAGACAAAGAATTAAAATCCTTAATAGACCTTTAAGTTTCCATAAGAAAAATTTCCCCATAGGAAAGTGGGCAAAGCTCATAAACAGCAATTCATAATAGAGAAAATAAAAACGTTCAAATACACGAAAAGATGCTCAAACTGAATACTCATCAAGAAAATGCATGCAAATTATAACAGTAGGAAATAATTTTAAATTGAAATTGATAGTATCCAATGTATTCACATACAGTTGATGAGAACATGATCTGATAAACCTTCTAGAAGGAAATACAGGCATATATGTCAAAATAAAGATCTATATATCCTTCTCCTAGGAATCTATTCTAAGGAAATAATGAGATATCAAACTACATATATAACATAATCTCATTTGTTAAAAAAAAACCCTGAATATATATACAAATATATAGAGAAATCTGTAGAAAGATATAAAGCATACATAATAGGGGGTAGGGATGGGAGGAGAGTAAGAGCTTACACAATATTATCTCTGTATGATGAGATTACGAGTGATCTCACTTTGTTCCTTATATCTTTCTCTGTTGTCTGAAAACTTCTCCCTATGATTATGCATTACAGATTATATGCAGAAAAAGTAAAGCTATTTTGAGAAAAAGCATGCCGAGATTCTTCTAGCTTAATGTTCTGTTTCTGATCCCGGCATCCAAAGAGAGTTTGTGAAAAGCATGCTCACCACGATTACTATAAGTTACTATAAATATTTTTAATTTTTTCTATTAATTTGTTAATTTATCCTAAGTGATATTCCTTAATTACCTTTTAGCCTGAAAATCTCAGAGAATATATTTTAAAATATTTTTTCTATTAATGAGTCTCTTAGCTATTTTCACATTATATCTAACATGCATATCTTATGAAAATATACTACTGCTTCTTTAAAAATACATATATACATAACTGTAATTCACATTAAACACAGTTGCCTTAAATATTCCAGAATAAACCAAAATAAAAATTCCTACATTTTCTCCAATGTAAATTTTAAGAAAGGGAAATAGTCTTCAGTCAGGCCTTTTACTGAAAAGAAAAGAAACCAATTTACCAATTTTCTCACAAATTTAAGAAAAACAGCAAAGAGAGAGATATACAGAGGACATCAGAGAACTGACTGGGTTTAATGGCCTGACATATGAACTCACCAAAATGACACCCAAGCTCCAGAGGTCACAGGACTCATCGTAGCCATTGTGATTCAAGAGCTCTGGGGCGGCGTAGTGAAGAGTGAAGCACGGCGTCTTCAGAGGCTGATTATCGGGTGGCTTTAAGCGTGCAAACCCAAAATCAATTACTTTAATTTCCAAATTGTCATTTTCATCAGTGAACAATAAATTCTGCAAGATACAAACACTTCATTACTTTCTCATTAAAATGTAATGGGACTTGGTTATGCATTTATGCAATATTACCTGTCTATCTATTTACACTGGATTCAGATACAGAAAGGTCTCACAGGGTGGGTCTGGGACCTGGATGTCAGCGTACTGTCGCTCTCTGCTTTATACTTTTCTGTATCACATCAATTTGTACAAGGTCATGTGGAACATTTTCAATGGGACCATGCCTCTTCTCTGTCTATGCTTTCCCTTCTGCTTGTGTCTGTCTTCGACCTCCTCCACCAACCTCCCTTCCAACCTGGCTCTCAGGCATCTAATCCTCATTTAGAGGTGCCACCAAACAGAAGATGGAAATTATTATATTTTCTTCTAGCATTTACTTTTCTTTCCTGGCACTTATCAGCTCTGCAATATTAGTTCAATGTCTTCACCCACATTAGACCATAATTCCATGAGGCCAGCAACTGTGCGTCTACCTTATTCATGACTCTCTCATGTAGTAAATGCTTTGGTAAATATTTGTCCATTGAATGAAGTCATAAATAAAATAGTTATACATAATATCTAGTAAAGCCTATTAAATAATACATGGTGGAGACATACGTTTCAGAAATATTTTTTCCAAAACAGTTAATACTTGAACATTTTTGATGCTTATGGATATTACCCCTCTATTATTCAGAAAACATTGTTATTTTGAATCATTTGCTAAGCCGTGTCAATCACTAAGGTTTTACTGATTACTTTTGTATTTACCACTTGTTTAAAAAAATCTAACTGTACTGATGGGCAAATTTTTATGTACATTTTTATTAGTACATCAAGCTAGTATGCACAGTAATTGAATCTGATTATATTGTCTTTAGACATCCTAACAAAATCTGTTATGCCTTTTTGACCATTAAATTATTCCCCAGTTCTGGAACAACATTTGCTTTTTAATATTATTTGAAGTGAAATAATATACATCATAGAATGCTTCACTGATACAAAGAAGAAAAATCTTCTAGGCCCCCATTCAAAAGTTAAAAATGAATGAAGTGGTAGGAAAGAAGCAAAAAAATTAACTGAAAAGTTTTCTTAAATTTTCTATTATACAAAATGCCTAATCCTGAATTTGTGATGGAATTAAAATGTGAATATAATTCAATGTAAGGCTTCACCACAACTGAAGTCATAGCTGGGGTGCATGGACCGGGTACTTGGGAGAAGTCTCAGCAAATGACCCCTGAACTCTTCCACAGCACAAGGCACTGTGCTACATACAGAGCAGTGGATGAAGCACACCTGGCCTGTCCTCCCAGAGCCTACAAGACTTTGGAAATGACTTTAGTGTCTTCTATACTAAGACCAGCTAAGGACTTCCTTGTTCTTAGATCTTGAAATGGAGGAGACATGGCACACCTCTCTTCACTCCTCTCCCAATTCTCAAAATGTAGTTGGGTGTGCATGGTCAGAAGTGGCAGGAATTAGTCATTCAAACCACATTTATCCTTGTCTCAAGTTCTGCCAGAAACTAATTTGATAAAATTTCTCAATCTTTCAAGAATATGGGGACCAGTTTGAAAAATACAAAGCAGCTTACTAAGAATGTCAGCCAGCTTCTAAATTTATTTGATTCTCACCTAGAAATTATCTTGCGTATGCAGAATATGAATACCACATAAATATCTACCAAAAGATATATAGTCAGATCTTAAAATGCTACATCAATGCGAAAGGGATTAAACTTTTAGCTTGAAAATAATATACTCTGCCACTTAAAAGTCAAAGTGAAAGCTATTTTATTATGGAAGTGTTAGTACAAAGGCACATTTTCATATCTCCAAAATATATGTTGATTTAGGACTATAATGGTAGTAGAATGTCCTTAATAATCAGACAATTCTTCTTTTCAAATGATTATTTGAAAGAAAAGCTTTATGGCAGATAAGAATTAAGCTATGTGAGTATCTTTTTACTCAGTAAAATAGGAAGGCAAATTTCAATTCCGCTGGAGAGGACAGTTGCATCATTTGAGACTCATGAGGTGACAGATGGCCAGTTATCAAAGAATAAAACATGTGAAAATGAATTCTAGACAGTCATGGAACAGATCTTTTCAATTAAAAAAATTACATGCTTGTTCCTTGTCTATCAAAAAAAAACAGTTAAGTGGTATGCTTTCACATTTAAAAATAGACAGCAAATCTCCAATGTACAGAGTGCCATATTGTTAGTGGGTGTTGTGTGGGAGAGTGAGAATTGTGATGAAGGAAGCAGAGGGGTAGCTATCATAGTTGCAAGTTCATAAAACACAATTCACTTTTGATTAATTACGAGTAATATGAATAACAGTAATAGAAAGTACATAGAAGCTTAAATATTTTGGGACTCAGTCAATTATATCCGAAGGCACAGAATTCCATTTTTAAAACATCCTCTTCCTACCAATAATCCAAGGTACTTAAATAAAAGGCAAAAATGGTGCTTTTTGAGAAATATTCTTTTGTAATCTAATACAAAAATAAACACCAAATTATTATTTTAAATATACTTAAAAATGCATTATAATCACATGGTAGTTAAAATTGAAATTCTATTTTAGATAGTAAATATATATAATTTTGCATAGGATAGAGGATGATTCATTGTTCTTCTTTTATAAATTATTGGGTTTTGTTTTTAAATTTTCATTATTCTTTCGATGATTTTCTAAAAGGGAGGAATTTTCATACTTTTGATACTAAAAAGGGATCATTCTAGAGTTAGAACCTTCTTTCTTAACCTTTTGAAAGAAGAAATATATAAATACTTCTACAAAGCTACACAGTTCTATAAATATTATAGTACATGAGCAAAGAAAACACACGTAAGGATGGCATAACTCATTAAACAAAGACAATGCTTTATATTTAAAAATTTAGAACAACATACATTGCTATTCATGAGCTAATCAATTTGATTACAAAAGTAAAAGATAAGCTTTCAAAATACACTGTTAAAATCCCTCTAAAATGGTATACATATAGCAGGGGCATTATTTTCTGCTACAAAAATTTCCATTGCTATTTTTAGTCCACAATTGTTGCATAAAGTATTTCTTCCATAAAAGGCTCTCACACTTACAAATATAACCTCAAGATGATCAGCTGGCAAAAAAAAAAAAAAAGAACGAAAAGACAAATTTATTTTAGACTGAAATAGAAAAGAAAAAAAATGCAAGAAACGTGATATTTGCAAGTATCTATTTAGCAGAAAGCCCTGAAGATAAAAAATCAAAACAACCCCCCCCCAAAAAAAGCCCACACATATCTGGGGGATATTTAATAATGATGCTAGATTGCATTATATGAGAAAACATGTAATTTTATACCTCGGGTTTCAAATCTCTGTGTACCACTCCAACATCATGCATGTGGCTTACAGCTGAAACAAGCTTCCGCATGATGTAGCTGGCTTCTGTCTCACTGAAGTGTTTCTTTCTCTTAATGCGTTCAAATAGCTCTCCCCCGTTCAGAAGTTCCATCACTAGAAATGTGTGAAGCTAGAAAAGAAAGAAGAATAATGCGGAGGGCCTTAATTAAGAGGAGTAAAAGCTTATCAACGTATAAAACATTTCCTGATTATGAACTATTACCAATAAATTTAAATAGTCCCTTGTTAAAATAGTCAACGGAGACCCTTGTATTTTAGGGGAAAGAGTTGAAGGATAATGTGACTTTTTTAGAGTTCTATTTTGGTAATGGAAAATTTCAAGTACTGCAGTGAAATCTTTGTATATCCTTTCCTTGACTAATTCTTTCATTTGAATTCCATTCCAACCCTCTCTACCAAGTGTACATATCTTTCTTCTTAAAGTGTAACCTAGTACAGATAATAATGTAAAATTGGCTGCTTGAAATAATATAGATTACTGATGGAATATGGGCAACTACCCCCAGGAGGCCTGACACACACATTTAATGGCAAATTTACCTCTTAAAAAAGGCACGGTTGGATGATGTCACTTTAAATCTTCTGTTAGGGCTCAACAGATTAGTTTCAGTGTTCCTGTTAATTCCCATGCCAAATACCCATAACTCACTTTGGGCTTTTTTTTTTTTTTTTTAAATAATTGCTTTTGCTCCCAAGGCATTATCTTAATTAAATAGTATTAAAAGTCATGTATTTACTATGTTTTGCATACACTCCCGTAAAGAAAATAATGTAGGAGCTACTGAAAAGCAAGGGAATTACATCAGCTCCCCAACGAACACAAATGGTTTAAAAAAGATACAAATCAATATTCAGATTCAAGTGCTATGCCTTATAGCACCAATGTCACTCAACAAACAAAACACAGTATGCTTTCCTTTGAATTAGCAAAGTCCAGGAAAATTGCTTCATTAAAAAGATGATTATAAAGACATTATCCTGCACATAGTGGGCAAATTCTAGAAGGTGAATAATGCTTTTATTAAGAGAATTGCTCCCAGGCTATTAGAGACCATGCTAATTTGAGTTTCTACGTCAGACAAATTAAGATCAAATCTAAAGGTCTGCTACAAGTATATGCCAGCAAGCTTTAAAAAAATGAGGGGCAAGACCTATAGTGGTTTAAGAGATAGGTTTTAGAGTCAAACCTGCATCTGAATGCCAGCTCTGCTACTTACTTATGACCTTGGGGGTGTTACTTTACCTCTATGAACTTTAGCACCCTTACCAATGAAATGTAGGTAACAGTGAAAACATGTATATATAGTAGCTTGAATAATGGCCCTCCAAAGATGTCCATATCCTAATCCCCAGAACCTATGGATGTTACCTTATATGGTAAAGGGGTTTTTCAGAAGTGATTAAGGCTCTTGAGATGGGAAGGGTGTCTTAATTATCCACCAGAGTCAACAGTATGAGATGGGACTATGGAAACAAAAGACTGGAATGAAACATGGAAGGGTCACAAGTCAAGAATGTGGGCAGTCTCCAGAGCTAAAAAAGAGAAGTAAATAAACTGTCCTTTAGAACCTCCAGAAGGAAGCAGCCCTGCTGACACCTTGACTTTACAGCAGTGAGGCTGATTTTGAATATCTGACCTCGAGACCGTAAGATAATACCTCCGTATTGTTTTAGGTTTGTGGTACTTTGTAACAGCAGCAATAGGAAACTAATAGAGTAGTAAAGCACAAGTCATGGTACACAAACTACACTGCTGTACAGTCAAAGGCTGGAGACACACCCTCAATCAATTTCACCCATCAGTTGAAAAGGGGACTATGGTGGATTCGGGCATGATCTAGGCAACTGTGTCACCATCATGGAAAAAACAACGCAAACTATCAACAACTGTATATTAGAATGATAATATATTTATACTGGTGTACATAGGATTACATCATGAGATGGTTTCTATTCTAGTAACTCTTGAATATAAAAATAGCAAATAATAAAGTTAATTTGTCACATAAGTAAAATATTAGGGATGTAGTTCCTGAGATCTGACAGTGGCCTGACGGTCAGAGATGGAAAGTCTTTTGGGGGAAGTAGCTAGGGGCACAGCTGCAAAACCGAGGGGTGTGTCGAAGGTCATCCACCAAGCCCTTGATGGATGTGTGGATCGCCTTCAATAGGAGACTACCTAGGTTCCTTGTAAGCACCCTCAGTGGGCAGGGGACTCTACCTGCACTGTAGTTGAGTGGCCCGGTGAGGTGGAGGCAGCAGAAGAGCAGGGAGAACAGTTCCCCCCGAGTCCTTGCTTCAAAGAGCTTCCTTTCCTGACTATAAGCACCAAGGATGCAAATAGATGATGTCATTTTTGGGTGCTCACTCACCTGATGGGAAAACCAGGCTTTGTGTCTGCCTCCTCTAAGGCAGTAGAACAAAGTAATTAATTAAGTGCTTGTTCTGAGGTTGGACTGCATGGGTTCAGATTCCAGCAGTACCACTTATAAACTGGGAGACCCGGTTACTTAATTTCCGGGAGTTTGATGATACATGTAGAATGAGTGCTACAATACCTGTACCACGTAATGTATGTGAAAGTAAATAGCAGCAGTTATTATAGTTATGATGCTCCTGCTGCTGCCGCCTGGTTTCCCACCATGTGTCATGCTTGGCCACGGCACTCTGGGAAAGTTCAATGTGGTAGAGAACTGGGCCACCGCTCTCCTAGGACGTGGATGTCACGATACCACACTGGAGAGAGCCCAGAACCGGAGACCAAGTCTTCCTACTAGATTTTCACTGATCTGCTATGTGACCTTGGTTGGACGAGTCTCATGACGCACCCCCCCCCCACTTTTTTTTCCTGTGGGAAAACACTCATGACCTTTCTGAACCTCCGTTTCTTCTCTGGTAAAGTTAGGGCCAACCACATCCAGGACTGGTGTTAGCTCTTGTGCGCAGCATGCTGTCTTGCGTCAGACTGTGCCATCCCGCCCAGTCCCAGGAGGAAAGATGACTGTAATGGAGAGATTTCTGCAGGGAAGGAGACATGGACCTGACAAAACAGTGTTCCTCCTGTCTCTAAAGTTACATAACCCTGTGTGAGGGTACTGCTGGAAAGTGGGACCGGGGGTAGAAGGCAGGTAGCATGACCTGGCCTGTGGCCTGAGCAGAATCTGTCACCTGGAATAAGAAGATGGAAAGAGAGTATCTTTGCCCTCTGCTTCCTATTTGCTCTTTCAGTTTGCACTAATGAGGCTTTAGGCTAAGTTCTACTCTTGAAGTTAAAGGGTTAAGTTGACGGCTGAAAATGACTGAGTACTGAGAGGTACGCAGAGACGAAGCTATGCGGGGTGGTAGCTGAACGTGCAGTAAGCACAGTGAGCTGGGCTTTAGCCCCCCGTCCTCCTTCCAGGTCCTACACGACCACGACTGAGTGAGAGAAGCAAAAGTGAGAGGAAGCATTGATTTGGGGGTGGGTGAAAGCATGCGTGGAGTGGCTTCTCACCCTCTCACGTGGCTCGGTCATGTCCCATATCCCTGACTTTGACCCAGCACCAACACAACTGATGAAAAGTAGAACCCTGTATATGAATTAGTATCCACAGAAAAAAAAGTGGACTACCTGATCGTGAAAAACTTCATGTAATTTCACGATATTGGGGTGTCCTTCACAGAGTTTCAGAGCTGTTATTTCTTTCTGAGTATTGGCTTCCAACCTGCAAGATGAAAGAGTTAGACTCTACATCCCTCTTCACCAAGTTTTTGGAAGCATTGCCCCAATCCTAATTTTGTTTTTATTTACAGTATATTCAGAAGGTAAGTGTCAAAGTATCAGAATGAGGCTTCCCTGAAAGTAGTGAGTCATACACCCACCAGAACAAGTAAAGCATTATTCTTGAGAAAAATGATCATTTCTGAGTCAGGAAAGAGCTAATCACATGAAGAAATGGATGCTCTACTTGCCTGACAATTTGGTGATAAGAATATACAACCATGGAGGTAATAATCAGTTACCAAAACAACTAGCTGGCTCTCAAACTACCCCTAGGTCACTAAATAATTGCAGAACAAAATATTTCAAATATACAACTAACAGGAATGTCAAAAGCTGCTGAACTCACTAAGCGAGTCTGATTAAACAACACCGCCACAAGAAAGTCTTCTCGTAATAACCTGAAAAGCATATCGTACTGATTTATGTCTAAAATGGATTACTTTCTCAGAGCTAGAAGTATAATGGATCAACTGATGAGCTGAATGGCTAAAACCTTGGTTGAAAACCTTATAATATACCATTATTTTCCTTTTAAATAAAAATCTTAATTTATAGAAGCCATTGACTAGGACGAATACATAAGAGGGACTGCTGGAAATGTGATACCTTTTGCTGATTATTTTGACCGCAAATGCTTGGTTACTTTTTTTGTTTATGCACTTTCGACAGATGGAAAAACTTCCTTCTCCCAATGGTTTGTCCTTCAGATCTAGGTCATAGTGTTGATAGAATGGAGAGTCCTGACAAGAAACCAACATCATTTCACTTAAGAAAATATTAGTAATACACAGGGATAGATAAAACTGTTGAGTAACAGAACATTATTAATGTTAATAAACAGGAGTGGAATACACTTACAATCTCTAAAAATTCATCATTAGCTCATTTCTATCATGTATATCACTTATTTAAAATATATTACTTTCTATCGTAAGAAACGAGCTCATTCAAATGAATGTTAATAATTCTCTAGGGCAAATCTTACTATTTCCATTTATTCATTTTTTAAAATTACGTTTTAGTCAAATGGAAAGTCTATTAAATTTACTTGACTTGAGAAAGTCAATTAGTGTTGGTACTTAAACCATGAATATGTCATTTAATTAACCACATGGCTACACCTTCATCATTGCACTCCTTGCCACATTTGTCACTCCGGGACGATCGACTCCCATGTGAAACTGAAGAGGGTCTATGACGGCTGCATTACGCTTGAAGAGAATAGAAGGAGCAACAAAGGAATAGCCCTAAAAAAAAAAGAAAGGAAAAAAATAAGGATTTGCAATTATCCGGTTTAGCACAGACTAGATTGTAATCATTTTTTTCTTCTCTGACTCCGTGCTTTCACCACTGAGGGCGTGGGTTCGATCCCGCATTGGGGAACTAAGATCCCGCAAGCCACATGGTGAGGCCAAAAAAAAAAAAAAGCTCAAATATTTGTTAAGATGAATCTAAAATGTAAGGTTATTTCAAATCAATAGAATAATGCTTTTCAGAAGGAGATCACGCCATCTTCTGGTAGAACTAAACCAATTCAAAATTAAAGGCAGAAAAATACTTCCTTCCTATCCCATCCCCAGTATCTGACTCATAGATATAATTCTTTTGCATTACTGATAAAAGTTTGCTTATAAACAAACACAACTAACTTCTCAAAAAAGGTACAGTTAAGGAACTAAAAAGTGGTCCAAATGCTACTGGTTTTCAAACTAGATAAATAGCAAGTTTCATTCCAGTCAGTTTCTAATTCAGCAATTATTTGACTCATTATATTTCCTTAGGTTAAATTCAAAACTGAGTTTTAGAAAAGGAGTCAAATCAAACGGCAGAATGATGTGCTGAACCAAAAGTGGTACAGATCTTCCTTGACTGACAATAGGGTTAAGTCCTGACAGACCCACCATAAATTGAAAATATCCTAAGTTGAAAATGCATTTAACACACCTACCCTACCAGATGTCACAGCTTAGCCTGGCCTACCTTAAACGTGCTCAGAACACTTACATTAGCCTACAGATGAGTAAAATCATCTAACACAAAGCCTATTTAATAATAAAGTGTTGGATATCTCATGTCATTTACTGACTACTGTACTGAAAGTGAAAAACAATGGTTGTTTGGGTTCCGATTGGTTGTAAGTGTATCAGCTATTTACCCTCGTGATTGAGTGGCCGACTGGGAGCCGGGGCTCACTGCTGCTGCCCAGCATCGTGAGAGGGTCGTACTGCACATCACCATCCCAGGAAAGATCAAAATTCTAAGTATGGTTTCCGTGGAATGCGTATCACTTTTGCACCACCATAAAGTCAAAAAATCCCAAGTTGAACCATCGTAAATTGGGGACCATCTGTATAATGATGGATGATTAATCTGTTTAAGCTAGAACATTCACTAATTTGAGGAACATTTTTTTCAATATCTGCTTTGTCCCAGCCAAGTACTAGCCACTAGTGTCACCTATGTCCAGAGACAGTGTCTGGACAGCCAAATTAAACCATACTACTGGGATACTAATGGGAGTCAAAGAAGTGAAGCTATGATGCCATTTAATAGAATATTTTATCTCAAGTCTGAGAAAAGATCCTTTCCTAAGTGTAAAATCCTTTCTAAATCTTTTTTACGAGTTGAGAAACAGTTCTGATTAGTCACTGAAGATAAAGAATCAGATAACACTGTTTATGAATTAAGGAATATTTTGTATGATTAGAAGTAAAGTAGTATTATATTCTCTATAAAAGAGCTTGAACAGAAGTAAAATTTCAGGTGTAAATTCAACACATATTTATTTGCAATATCTCTGTATTTAATAATTTTGAAGAGATTATACAGTCCTGTTTTTCAAGATGCCAAAAAGCTTTCACATGCGAAAATTAATCTTTTCTTTCAAAGCATACATGGCCAACAAACACGTGTGGGCTCTTGGAGATTACCTGAAACAGCCTCTCGGAGCTCTGGGGCAGTGCTGCGGGAGAGTAGGTGGGGTCCATTTCTGTGAACTCTTCTGCAAAGTTACTCACATCTAATTCATCTCGGATGACTGGCTTAAAGGGCGCGGGCACTTTTTTGGCAGCTAAATCATCCCAATTTATTTTCTAAAACAGAGAAAGAAAATTGGTACAAAGTAGAAATCAACAAAGTTGAAATATATTTTAGAAAAATAACAAAGATAATGATTTTAATTAAACAACAGAGAGAAGCACATATTCTTTTAAATATTTATCTTATTTATTTTTGGTTGCATTGGGTCTTTGTTGCTGTGCACGGGCTTTCTCTAGTTGCAGCGAGAGGGGACTACTGTTTGTTGCGGTGCACGGGCTTCTCACTGTGGTGGCTTCCCTTGTTGCGGAACACAGGCTCTAGGCATGCGGGCTTCAGTAGTTGTGGCACGCAGGCTCATTAGTTGTGGCTCGCGGGCTTCCGTAGTTGTAGCTCACAGGCTCTAGAGTGCAGGCTCAGTAGTTGTGGCGCACGGGCTTAGTTGCTCTGCGGCATGTAGGATCTTCCCGGACCAGGGCTTGAACCTGTGTCCCCTGCACTGGAGGGCGGATTCTTAATCACTGCGCCACCAGGGAAGCGCGAGAAGCACATATTTCAAACTAATGATTTAAAAAAATATTTTTTTACAAGCAGGAGCACATTTTTTGACCACAGCTTATAGCTCACTAAAGCTGTGACTGAGATGAAACTGTTCTCCACCACTGTGGAATCTCATCCTGGCCACTGGGGGGCACCAGGACACCCTAGTTCACCCTTAGGGATAACAAAAATTATTTTGTCATGAGTCCCCTGAGACAGGCGTTAAGCCAAACCAAAACCAAACCAAACCTAAACTAAACTATAATAAAGGGCTTTAAAATGGATATGAATATTAACTCTAAAGGAACATCCCTATTTTTTAGAGGCAGTGTTAACTAGCTTTCCTTCTGTACTTGCTTTTCCTCCTGGCCATCTGGACAAATTAGAAAATAAACAAACTCACTCTAATTCATGCATTGGTTTATGTCTATAAGTCTAAATGATACTGTGGTAGTATGAACTGATGTAACCATTCTTTTCTCATTCAACTGTATTTAAGCTATTCAACATTGCCTCTTCTCTCCCCCATGGGATAATCCAGGCCCCCTTTCTACCCATGTCAGTCACTGTCTGATAAACTACCATGTCTTCTATTATTCAAATTCAACCCTCTGTTCCGTCTTCTTTATTCTCCTTCAGCCATAAAAAACAACCTCAGGTAATACTTACTGAATTGAATCCCACAGATACCCTATTAATATATTTCTCTTATAATCTAAGATGTCATCCTTGATAGTAAGATACACACTTATTTTATGTACCATTAAGAAAGAAAAAGCATTACCAATTAGAATAGTAAAATGTTGTCCACTGTAAGCTGCATACTGATTTCAGAGATGGTAAAATGTGAAACTTGTACTTCTCGGTTGATGACATTCAGTATAATCAACTAACATAAAATGTTTTTATTATGCCCTCTTGTGGAAGCAAGGGAGGTAAAATCATTGAATTAGACCTTCAAAGTTTTCAGCTAAAATGGGTTTTAGAGATCATTTAGTTCATCCTCTTTATTTGAGCCAGACGGAAATGGAAGCCCGGAAATCAGAACCAACCTTTTCACTTAAACCTTTGGGAGGGTCAGTCTCCTGACTTTCTAGTTCGTGTTCTTTCCTAGTGTATGATTACATCACAGGCATATGATTACAAGCGTACGATTTGTGCTTGGCTCTTGTACATACATTAAGAGAAACTTCTAGAGTAAAGGGGTAATTTAAAGAGATACACTGTTAGCAGGAGAACGTTTAGTATGGAGAAAACTGAACGCTCTTACAATCCTCTCCACCTCCACCCCATTTGGGTCTTTACAAGTAGAATTTTGGTCTTTCCTGAAGTGTCCCTGTCGTTTAAAAAGTCAAGGCAATTAAATAACCTAAAATTACTATTCTAAGCTATAGAAAAGAGAAATTTCTCTAACATGAAAGCTATTTTGCAATATTCACAAGTACAGGGAACCGTGGAGAAAAAGATCCTAGGAAAATATGATTTGGGGTATTTTGCTTGAGTATGTTCTTGAATTTTAACCTTATTGTTAATTTTTGAGCCGAACTCCTGAACAAGATACATGAAATAGTTTGTTCAAATGTTAACCTTTCCAAGCCATATTAATCTATGAAATGCACATGCTGAGAAATTAATTTTATTCTAAAGGTACTTCTCACTATGTTACTGAACTTCTGTAAGATGTACAGTAATGATTTTTTAAATGGTTACACCAAGAGACTGAAATAAATGTGCCTTTTCTTGAGTATATAAGTAGAGAGAGAATTCTTATTCTCAATTACTATTTGTTTTTCTATATTAAAAACACAATAAATAACAACATGACAGCTTACTCTGCAGCAGAGTTTTTTCTTTGTTTTGGTGTGATAGTTTCATTAATTTTGGTGATAATAATGTAAAAGCTCAGTCTGCAAAGTAAAAATAAAACCTTGATGGTCCCTTTTGAGCATAAATATTTAGGTCATGCTTGTTGATACGATGAAATTATTTAAAAGTCATAAGCTCAGAGTTTTAGAAATCGAGGTCATGGTATCCCAGGTTGACCATTTAGATTGAAATAACTAGTCAACTCAGTCTATTTAACTTTTTTTTCGAGTTATCTAAAATTGTGGTCATTTTGTGGACAGCACTGAGCATACTAGGTTGAGCAGGCGTGTTGGTGCTCTGCAGAATGGTCTTATTAGGCTTTTGCGGAATAAAGCACTGTTTCAAGTACAAAGAAAATAAATGAATAATTCCCTACATATTATAATACGTAACTGAGAAAGAGGCTGATTTTGAATTTTCTAAGATTTCTTCTGGGAAAAGAAGAGATGAAATCACTATCTAAAAAGTATAACACAGTGGCAGTAATAGCTCGTGAACTGAGAAGTAAAAAATATAATAAAAGTCTCCTTAGTCTATATGCCTAGATCTTGAGATCACAAATGGAAATCAATACTCAGAAACTCTAATAAGTATGTAGAAAATCAAATGTTATTATAATCCTCCCCTCTCTCCCTTCATATAGGGAGAAAAAGACCATTTAGGTCCCTACAAGTAGAATTCTGATTCTTCTTCAAGGGTCCCTGTCATTTAAAAATTGGGAGAAAATGACTCGGAAACAGCCCAAGTTCACTCATTCCACCAAGAACGCCAAGTACTCTGAAACCAGCAGGGCATATAAGACCATCTGTTCAGTATGTTTCACCTGAAAAAAGAGATGTTCTTTGATTTCATCTGCATCACGTGGACCACATCCCAGTCTTTTCTTGGGATCTTTCATCAACAGACGCTGAATTAGGTCTTTGGCTACAGCACTCATTTCTTGGGGATACGGAGGCTCGCTTTTTAATATTCTCCTGTAGGCAGATAAAACTTTCTGTTAAAACCACCATAGGATGAAGTTACAGTGACCGTATTCTTCACAGAAAACAAGTATGGCGCAACACACTCTGAAATTGAACTATATGTGAAAAACGGAGATAAAAATATGAGATACCATGAAATCAAATTTCTCAAACTTAAGCAGAAACGAAAAGCATTGATCATTTTCCAGTATGTGTCAATCCTCATGGGAAACTAACATCCCAAATATTTAATTAGAATAAAAAGGCCTGGGGTTGGATTAGATCTCCCATCTATGGACTAGACGCTATGAGTAAACCTTTTACAATGGAAACAACTTAATAAACTCAGAGAAGAGAATTCAGCACTCAGATTTGGAAGGACAAAAGAAATCCCAACTCTACCTGCCTAGCTTCTCTTGCCCTGTGTGCCAGTGAACATAAGGCGCCAGCAGGAATGGAGAGGGAAGGAAGCCCCAGAAAGGGAGAGTCAGAACCCACTGGACGTGGCTCAACTCTTGACACCAGAGCTGGGGGCTCTTCATGGGATGAAAGCATCTGCTTATTTATCCGCGACGCTGAAACAGACTGGAGAGCCTTAGAAGGCAAGTGGTGCTCAAAGACGGAGTAAACGCTACTCTTTATTACAGAAAGCAAAAAAATTAAGATAATCAGGTTTCTTGATGAAATATCTTGAATTATTCTAAGGTCACAGATGAAATCGATCCAATCCAAATGTACCTTTGCCTCTCTTAAAAGCCAGAGCAATAGTTTAATGAGAAAGAAATAATGGAAGGAGCTGATGGAAATTAAGAAGCTTAACATAGTAACCATGGAGATAAACAGTTTCTCAATTATTTGGTTTGCAAAAAGATCCCCTGTTGTTCATGAAAATAGTGATAACTGTTGTGGAACAAAAACTAGATAATAAGTTAATGAGAGATAGTACAGTGCAGTAAGAACAGGAATCTGGAGCCTTTTGGGATCAAGTTCAAGCACTGGCTCTGCTGCTTATTGGCTGTGTCACCTTAAAAGAGTTCATTAATGCCTTTGTACCACAGTTTCCTCAACCGCTTTCTCAACCACAGCACCTGCCTAAAATGGGTACTATGCCTCTTAAATGAGTGAAGACGTGATGTACGGTGCTTGGCACTGCCCCTGAAATGTAGCAAATGCTTGATAAATATGAACTACTCACTGTCCTGCTCCCCTATTTAAGGCAACCACAAAGAAAACAGACAGCCTGTAGCAAGAAGCACTGAGCATCAGGGAAATGATGGTGGGGTGGTAACTTCTGACTGAACATTCCAGTAAGTGTTGTTCATTTCAAAGCGAATTCTACTTCTAGCACTCCATCCTGGGAACCTAAGAAAATGCTGAAAGAACAAGCCCCACCCCACACCAAAAAAAAAAAAAAAAAAAAAGCAGCAGAACCTCTTTTCTTTCTGATTCTTTAGTGTTTTCCCATGACTCACTGCCCGTCAGGGTTGCGACGTTAGAGAATAATCCCCTCCTGACATAAGGTGAGGGCGCCCTGTTTCTCAGGGAAAAGCAAGCATACATAGCCTGTTCCATTTCTCCATCTTTAATGTCTTTTCTGCAAGCAAGAGTTTCTTGTGTAAAAGGACCAGGCTCTAGATTCACTGCTGCTGAACCATGTGTAGAAAGAAGCACTTTGGCTGACTTCATCTGAGGGTGCCGACTCTGTTCTGTTACTCTTACACCTAAGTCAGCGACGTTTACTGGCAGTCTGCTCCATACCAGGCACTGGGGGAAGGAATGGTCAGTCTTGTTGACCGTGGTGGGTTCGTGGAGAAGGAGGGCCAGCGATAGAGTCATGAGCACCTGAAGAGAGGCACGGCCCCACTGAAATGCCCAGACTGCAAAGAGGCACAGGAGACCTCGTGCACACTTCAGGGCAGTAGTCTGGACACACAAACAACAGCATCGGTGTGCCACCGAGGTGTGCATCAGGTCCACATGCAAGGGAATGAGAGGTTTAGATTCGGGTGAGGCAGGGATCAGATCGGGGAGAAACTGAGTAGAAATCTACAGGAATTCCTGCTGCAAACAGTGCTGATGAGGGAACATGCAGAACAAACAGCGATGACCCTCCCCTTTCCTGAGTGAGAATAATAGGGCCAGAAGCAGCGGGAGCAGACCCGCACAGAGCATGCTGAACACCCACCCGACGTAGAGGAGTGACAGCAGGAGCCTTGCTGGAGACTCACGGAAGGACCACTTCTGTTGTCATATAAGCAGAGTGAGACAGGGTTTCCTTAGCGATGTGGAGAGGCTCTGAAGCCCAGGAAGAGGACCAGAAACTGGGGATGGGGTGGTAAGGAGACAGTAGGCTCAACCCTTTCCTCCACGGGAAGATGATCCCGGATTTACCTTCTTCTTATACTATTTCCTTGAAATGCACCGGGTCAAGGTGGATGTGAGGCGTCAGGTGTTCAGTCATTCTGAAGTTACCCCTGAGAAGTGAACTGCCCCTGGCCAGACAGGTGTGAACAGGCACGTAGGTCCTGGGGGTTGTCTTGTCCAGGACTATTTAAAACATATTCACGAGCCTCTGTGTGTTCTCTCTTATTCCCGAGGGTGTCCTTGTCGGGGCTTGGAAGCTGTGTTCGTGGGAGTTAGAAGACAGAGTTCCTGCACTGAGTTTCCTCTGCTGGGTGGTCCATGCCCGCCCACTAAGTCCCATCACTAATGGCTGAGCGTGTCCCTTCTGGTCTGGGAAGTCAGGCCTAGGTGGTTGGAAAGACCTCTGATGAGATGTTTGATGTTGTCATGCCGATACACTATGCTTCCTGACCTGTATCCTTCCAGAAAGCTACGTAAAACTGGTGCCACATTCCAGCCTGTTGTGCCCTGTGAGTATGAATGTCAGTCTGACGGCCAGTCCACCGTGGCTGTGCAGAGTGGGCGCTGAGAAATGCGGGTGCAGGAGGAGGATTTCTGTGGGATGCCCACTTGTAACAATACCAGGGCATCTCGCAACAAGGGCTGGGAGACATTTCTTGGGTGTTGGCTGCCACTTTACCTCTTCCAATGTGCTTGATTTCTGAACTGGTAATAACCCAGAGCTATTTTTTCTTGCTTCCAAATGAATCTTAGAGCTCTCTGTAAAATCAGAACAAGCTCTGAATTAACATATCACGTTGAACACTTCAGTGTATATTATCATTCAATCCATACAAAATTCCTATCAAAAGGCTATTATTATCCCTGTCTTACAGATGAGGAAAGATTCCTTTCAAAAAAAAAACCAAGAAATATACATATGAATTAAAATTTCAATCAGATACTTTAGAACCTGGATAATATTAATATTTATTTGTAAGAATTAATGATAACACAGCTAAGAAAATTTTGAAAAAGAAAATAACTGGGGAGAATTTGCCTAACTACATAGTAAAATGTATTATAAAACAAAACTGTGAAAATGAAGTGGTAGTAAAATAAATTAACAGCCATATCAAGTGAATAGAAGAGACAACTTGAAAAATAACCATATACAAAAACTTACATTGTTTTTAAAAAGTTACCAGCCAACATAGGAAAGACGGCATTGTTTGACAAATGTGTTGGGTAAACCAGCTATGTGGGAAAGAAACAAACAAGGCAAGACCCTTGCCTTATACCGTAAGCCCAAATAAACTCTGAATGGATTGAGGAATTACATGTAAAATGCAAAATGAAATAAAATTAAAATCTATAGTAATATATAAATGAATATAAAATTTCTTCCTATTCATGGATGGAAGTTTCTGAAAACCCATGTGGTAAAAGAAATGCACAACTGATTAGCTTAAGAATTTATGGAGGGCTTCCCTGGTGGCACAGTGGTTGAGAGTCCGCCTGCCGATGCAGGGGACACGGGTTCGTGCCCCGGTCCGAGAAGATCCCACATGCTGCGGAGCGGCTGGGCCCGTGAGCCATGGCTGCTGAGCCTGCACGGCCGGAGCCTGTGCTCCGCAACGGGAGAGGCCACTACAGTGAGAGGCCCGCGTACAGCAAAAAAAAAAGAATTTATGGAGTAAAGGGTGAGGACATCAAGATTAAAATTAAACCTATGATGGAGAGAGAGGTAGGTAGATAGGAAATAAGCAAGGATGGTAAAATATTCATGGTAGAATCATGGCAGTGAGTACATAGGTGTCCACCATGACAAATATTTGCAACTTTTCATAATAAAATGTGGCGGAAAGAGTGAACCTATGAAGCTTGGCACATGTGTTTTGTATGTTCACTAAAACATAACAACAAAGAACTGTCCCAATAAAAAGTTATCAGTGACCTTTAGGACAGTGGTTTATGCTCACCTCATCCCTCCACATCACCCACCCACATCACCTACATTCTACAAAATTGCTGTTACCCCCACTCTTTAACCTTTTCCTTTATTTTTCTTCATGGAATTTACAGACTACTATATATTTATTTGTCTATTATTCATCTCTCCCAACTAAAATGTAAGCTCAATGGGAGTAGGGATTCTTTTTTTTTTTTTTTTTTAAAAAGAAGCAGTCTTGTTCACTGCTTTATTATTCCCTGAGGCCTAGAACACTGCTTTCGCCTAGAGCAAGTCCTCAACAAATATTTACTAAATCAATACATGTCTAATTGTTCTCCATTTACTATATGAGGAGCTTTCCTCCTCAGTTTCCATAGATGCCTGCAGATAACTTTTTCACTTTTTTGCAGATAGCAAAAGATGAGTTGATTATTTCTCTCTGTCCTCCATTTATAAGTTCACAATCTTCCCCATTTCATAGTGGACTCTCACTTCCTGGTTCCCCAGTGGTCCCCAAATCACAGAATCACATACGTGCCTGCCTGAGTTAGAAAGATTTTTCACTGAACTACTCACTCTTAATTTTTGTGCAACACAAGTGGGATAGTAAAGCATATCATGGTGTTATCTACTCAATGGTATACTATACAGCCATTACAAAAGTATGTTTATGAAGAGTTTGTAATTAGAGAATGCTTATAAGTTTACACAAAAA